CTGTTGGGGACTTTCTCCACTTCCTTTGGGCTATTGAAGGGTCAGTTGGGGAACAGAATCCCTGCCCCTCTTGTCCACCCCCTGCTTCACATGACCTATACTAGGTGGAAGGATGTAGCCTTGTGCAGTGGCTTTGTCCTTGTGCAGTGGCGTCTCTGCACTTGGCTGCCAGCAGCTGAGTGTTCGGGCTGTTTGCAGCCACCTTCTGGTCTTCCCCACTGCCTTTCCCTCCCGTTGTCGCTCTCCACCTCACTCTCCCTTCCGAGGAAGGGACCCTAGGGAAGAACAGCTTCCCCCTTGGTGCCTAGAGGCTCTGGAAACTAATTAGGAGAGTTAGGGACAGTTGGCTGAATAATGCCGGAGTCATTAGATGCTTGTTAGAGCGCTGCTGTTGGAGCTTTCCTCGGGCTTTCCTCCTTCTCTCCTTGGCCACGGTGGGGCTGGAAGGAGATTCATGAGGGTCACCCCACCCCATGGGGTTCTTTCTGTCCCTGGCAGGGGCTCTGGGGCCATTTGTCTGGCTCCACAGAGCACCCTGAGCATGTACATTTAGTAGTTTCCAGCTTTAATATTTAACACCCGAGAGGGGACTGGCTGGATTGGGCCTTTGACATGTAAGTTGCCTGGAATGACATGGCTAGGTGGGTGTTACCTTAGTGTCCCCTGATTTGCTGTCTGCATGGTTGGGGCAAACCTACTGTGGGGTTCTTCCCACTCCCCCCATTAGGGTGAACCTGGCATACGTAAGAGTGTCACCGGGGCAGTGTGAAGCTGTAGACCTCATGGGTCAAAGTGTGCCCAGGCTGAGCTTGCACCTGGACTCCCAGATGAGGGGGTGGCGGTCCTTAAAGGAGACTGAAAACTGCTTTTGATCCATCCCGGCTACACCCGGATGCACAGTGGGAGCGTATTTCCCGGGCATGCCCCGGGTCTGTCCTTCCTAGCGAAGAGTCCCGGCTGAGCTCAGGGTCCCAGTGTTGCAGGCACAGTACATGCACCTCGTCCCTGTCCTGGAGAGCTTGCAGTCAAAGTAGAGCTGACAAGATTTTTGGGGGGGGGGGGAGAGAAACAGGACTTGCCTAAGGTCACCCAGCAGGTCTGTGGCGGAGCCAGGTCTCCTGACTCCCAGTTCGGTGCCCTACCCTCTAGGACCACGGTTCCACTCCACTGGGCAGCAATGCAGAGTAGAGCCGTGGGAGTGTAAGTAGACTCTTTCCTCCCCCGGGAGTCTGGTTTGGTTTTTTCTCTTCTCCTCTCTTCTCTCCCCCCTCCCCCCACCTGCCGAGAGGAATCCCTGGCACTCCAGTTCAGAGGAGGAAGGGAATCTGGGGAGATAATGATAGGTGCTCTGCAGGCTCCTCCAGGGGTAATTATGAATTCTGCAATTCCAGGATTAATTAGCTGCCTTTCTCTTAACCTCTTAGCTCTTTTCAGAAGATGTTATTTGCTATGAAAGGGAAAAAAATAGGAAAAATAATCCCCCCCTACCCCAACACGCTATTAATCAGCAGGGGTCTGTTTAATTGGATCTGCCATCGGGTACCTCCTCCCGCAGGGAGCTTTAACGCCCTTAAATGATAGATGAGTAACGGCTCCACTAGAGAGGCTCCTGCATGCCTGTGTGGGGTGGGGGATGGCAAAGCAACTAGATGGATGGACAGATGCGCTTTCTTCTATAGCACCAAGCCATGACCTAGAGTTGCCCCCCTCGTCCCATACCAATGACCTACTGCAGGCCTTAATAATAAATGGAGATATACCTATCTCATAGAGCTGGAAGGGACCTTGAAAGGTCATCGAGTCCAGCCCCCTGCCTTCACTAGTAGGACTAAGTACTGATTTTTGCCCCAGACCCCTAAGTGGCCCCCTTCAAGGATTGAACTCACATCCCTGTGTTTAGCAGGCCAATGCTCAAACCATTGAGCTACCCCTCCCCTCAGAGGCTTCCCTAAGGGGTCTCTTGTTTTAAGGCTGGGGGGAGGCAGACTCTATATCCCTGAGGTCGGCCTACTTTTTTAAGGGGGACCCTGAAAAGTAGTAATGGCCTATTAGAGTTCCTTCCCCTAAACAAGCAATTTGTTGGTCATCCATGTGTGTCCAGGGCCCAGCACAGTGGGGCTGTGGTCCCTGATTCATGGTAGCACCTAGAGTCCCCGGTCAGGGATCAGGGCACTGTTCAGGCAGGGATCACCAAGGCCATCCCTGCCTCAAAGAATCTACAGTCAAAAGCCTAGATTCCGCAAGCTGTTCTGCTTGGCTGGACCCCCATGGGCACTGAGATCCAACCGCATGGGACAGTGTGCGGGATTGGGACCTTGGCTTATAAAAAGATTCAAAAGGAGGATGAACAAACAGGAGGAGGTGTGGTAGCAGTGAAAGGAGCAGGGGTTTCCTGGAAGACAGTAGCTACAGCTCCCCACTTTCCCCATGTGCTGCTTGGGTCTGCTCTGGGTGTCTTGCTCAGCCTGGGTGTTTGTGACACTAACTTAGCTGGCTGGCTTCCCTTTCTGTCTCTGTCCCTGGTTCTCCTGCACTAACATGATGCTGCCTGTGTTTCTGGGAATGCCCCAGGGTGACCCTGTTCTCACAAAGGCATCTCTTGAAGACACTTCTGCCCCTGTCATACCTGACATCTGTAGCAACTCTTAAAATTCCCTTCAGAGGCTAAATTTGCGGGCACACAGACAGCATCTGTCAGGTTCTCTGCCCCAAGTGAGGAGAGCGTTTCTCTCCAGATCAGTCTCTCTCTCCTGCTCTATTGCATGCTGATTCCATATCTTTAGCCACCAGCCCAGAGTCTTCTCTTATCCTGTTTCCTTATCGCTAATCTCCACAGCCCAGTCTGTCCCTGTCTTCCTTGCAAGTAGTTGAATTATGCTGGGGGATGGGTGGAGTCATGACAACACCCCACTCCCTGGCCTAGCGGGATGGTTTTTCTGAGAATGCAGCTTGGATCATGTGCTTCTTTGCCTCAGGGGATTGGTTCCATGGGATCTCTGCCATCCTGTTGCTTATGGAGGGAGTTGGCGCATCAGAGAGACTGAGACTTTCCATGTTGCGTTCAGAGAGAAGGGAAGGGGATGGGGTGAACAATTCCAACAGTGGACAGTTCCTAGCAGCATACCCTACCCTAGTCCCTCCTTCCCAATTTGCCCATCTGCATCCTTGTGCTTCTAGTGCCCCCCCCCCCGTTAAGTAGAGTGTTATCTAATTGTGTTGCATTCATGCCCAAAGGCCCCATTCAAATGCATAGGAAGAGCCTCTGCCCCTGCCCCTCAGAGCTTACAGTTTAAGAAACCGGGTGCGTCATAGGACTGTGGTAGGTAGGCTGCTGTGAGCTTCCTGGTCTCCCCAGTCCCGCTTCAGGACAGATGCAACCCTGAAGAAATCCCAAATGGCAGTTGAGATAAGCCTGTGCTGTGCATGCATTTTCAGGGTCAGTGAAATTGAGCTGACTGCAGTCCTGAGTCCAAGCACTAAAGAAGGCACAGGTGCTCTTGGACTGTGGGTGGAGAAAGCCCCCTCTAACAATCTGGGGAGGGGGACACCCTCAAGCGTTCAATCCCCTGACCCCTTCCTTGCCAGCTGCTTCTGCTCTTGGAGACTGCAGGGAAAGCCTGGGGCCCCCAAATGTTTGGAATCCAATTAGTGTATGATGTTCCGTCCCAGCATTTCCCTAGAACTGTTGCAGGTGAGTGGCGTTTAGCGGACCAATACTAGAGCCAGGGGGAAGGAGGACTTCCTCCTCCTGAATTAGGAGGAGAAGAAACTGAAGTGGATTTCTCTGCCCATCTGGAATGGGCTCTTGAATCCTCCCCAGTTTTAATATTTCAGGCTCCCTCCCCCTTCCAGCTTCCCACTGAGACTTGCTCTGGAATTCTCCCTTCCATGCAGGATACAGCTGGTGCTGACTCTAACTCAACTGTCATCTGCACGTGGGGCTTCGTTGCTGAATAAGTCATAGTATTTCTCTCCTCCTCATTGCCCCATTCTAGGTAATGGTCATAGAGCTAGTAATCCTTGTACAGATGGGGAAAGTCAGGCAAAGACGCCAAAGGGATGAAGTCTAAAAATCTGTCTGTATTTAAATGTTTGGGGTTGTTTTACCCATGTTAACTGACAATCCACTCAATAACTTAAAAACAACAGGCCTTTTAAGCTCCAATTTATTTGTCCACATTTATGTTTGTTTATGTCTTTAGCTGTGTCTCCCTTCCAGACAGGAGAAATCAGTGGAGTCATTTTCACATTTTATGTATAGTCCATTTCACAGCCAGATTCTCAGGGCGTCCCTGGCATTGCAGAGGGGTGTGTAAGAGACAGCTGTTTTCCACTGGAAGTCTTTGTTTTTAAAACCAATGAATGGAAATATTTCTCTTCCTCTCTGCTTTGGGCCAGACAGCTGTGGATGGAGCAGAGCGTCACCTGGGTCCTCTTCCTGCCCCTGACTCAACTGGCAAGTCACTTATCCTGGGGGCCCTCAATCTTCCCTGCTGGGTAGTTCGGCCAGTGATGCTGATGCACTTTGAAACGCTTTGAGATCGAGAGATGAAGGACCAGATCCTCAGCTAGCATTTAGCAGCATAGTTTTGTTGAGGTCAGCGGAGCTTAGATTTTGAGCTCCTGGGGGTGAAGACTGTCTTGTTCTGTATTTGTACAGCACCTAGCGCCATGGGGTCGTGGACCATGAAAGGCTCCTACGCTTCCCAGTAATACAAATAATAGACCCATTTCTGCTAGCTAACAGTCCAGCTTGAAAAGGACTGTACTAGTGCTAAACTGGGCATGCCCCTTTAAGATCCTGCCCTAAAACAGGGTAGAGGTGGGATTAGAACCTGGGGGTTCCTGGCTCCATTGCTTATTCCTAGACCTTGCTGCCTCCCAATATTTCTTGCATAGGTGCGTCCCTAGCACCGTGGCTCTCGGTCCCCCGTTCCATGGCACGTGCGTCTCGGCTCTCTTGCTAATGATGATATTTTTGTTTTAAATCTGTCTTGCAGCTCCTGTTGCCGCTGGTATCCAGGGAACCTTCCTCCTTCTCCAAGAGATACACACTGGTTGTTGCTAAGGTCGCTTCCACGGTAACATGCACATCCTGTTTACACCTTTATCTGGAGAAGTTGGGCTCAGCTAGTCACGCCAGCTTCACCTGGGAAGCTGTAGAAGGAAGCACCCGCTTCCCCACTTCTGGCACCTCCGCTAGGATTCTCCTCTCTGTCAAGGCCCCACCATCCAGTCCTCTCTGGGGCCGTGGAGCTAAGGCGGCTGCTGGGAGCTGCCAAGGACCGTCTGTGTCCCCTGCGGGACATTCAGGGGAGGGAGGTGAACAAATAGGAGCCAGCGTTTTTCCGCTCGCGTCTGTTGCAACTCGCGCTGTTTTGGCAACATGACGAACAACGCTGCTGACCACCATCCTGGGAATTCGGTCACCGAGGGCAGCCATGAAGGGGATTTCGGCTGCTCTCTGGTCGATCTGCGGACCCTCATGGAGCTTCGGAGCGGCGAGGCTGTCGCAAGGATAAATGACACGTACGGGGGTGTGCAGAACATCTGCAAGAGGCTGAAGACGTCGCCGGTAGAAGGTAAGTGGCTGGGCTGGCCCAGGCAGGTTAGCAGAGAGGGACTGAAACGGGAGCGGTTTCTCCCAAGCTCCCGTGTGCTCTGGAGGATCAGAGGGAAACTGTTCCTGATCTTGCCTGTTATTGGTCAGTGATGGGTTAGAATATGCAGTCTTGTTAGGCCTAAGCCTGCAAATTGGAGGCCACAGGCCTATGCTCCCCATGTAGTTGCGTGGCTCAGTAGTTGTGAGCATCCATCAGATTATGGTAAGTACCTAAGTGGCCCAATCCGAGATCGGGGCCCTATTGTGTTGGGTGCTGGCTGTACACCAAGTGAGAGACAGTCCCTGCCCCAAAGAGTTTACAATCTAACTAGACACTACAGCCCAAAGAAGTAGTAGTATCCTCATTTTGCAGCTGGAGGGGACTGAGGCACAGAGATTAAATGACTGACTTGGGAGTAGAGCCCAGATCTCAAGAGTTCCAGCCTTAATCACAAGACTATCCAGTCACATTCTCCCTGCAGCTTCCTGCTCCCTTCTTTTTGCCAGGTCCCCAAAGTGGGATGCAGACTCCAAACCTGAGGGACTGGACGAAGGGTTGAGTAGTTCAGGAAGCGTTAAAAGCTGTGGGATTCCTTTCCGCAGCTGGCCTGGTGCCCGTGAGCTTTGCGCCACCGTTTCTGCCGGTCAATAATTGATGGCGCTAACAGCGGGATAACGCTGGGGCAGCTTGGGATAGTGGTGAAGGAGAGTTTAAAAGGTAGGTTAGGAACTCAGCAGCCAAGTCCAGCTACCAGCCAGACAGCTGTGACTCTAGCTGAGCTTGTCACGTGTCCTTGCAAAGCTCACACACTAGTGTCCTGAACAACTGTGTATGTAACCAACTGTTCCCCAGAGGCAGACACTTACAGGGGATGCTTCTAATTTGGACACACCCACTCACCAATTCTCCAGGCTCCTAAAAGGGCCTCATAAGGTCTACATGTAAAACCAAGGAACCCTTGGGTGGGGAGCCATGCTGACCAGGTTGCTGCCTGAGCCCCCCCAGAACACTTCCCAATAGAAATGTGATCCTTGCAGTGTTAGAAAGTAATGCTGGGGGGCTGATGATGATTCTAGTCGGCCTCACAGGCCCGGCTTGTGTTTACTGGAGCATTGCACTCCATAATTTATTTTTATTTCCCTAGCCCCAAACACTTTTGAGGATCCTGCAATCTAGGCTTGCAGGAGGTAGGATCACTTCAATGCATGCTGGGTAGCTGGTGGCCCTAGCAGAGAAAAGGGAGGAAAAGACAAGGAAAGTGCCTTTTTAACACCAATGAAGTGTGTTGGACAAGGATTCCTAGGAGGGGAGCTAATGCTAAAGCGGTAGGGACTGGGCTGGCTGAATAGGCTTGGCCATTGCCTACGGTACGCAGAGGGGATCGGCGCAGATGGCAGCTGCATTAGCAAGGGCAAGACTCCAAAATCAGGCGTTTTTTCTTCGCTTTGAGAACTTGTTATTCTTAGCTCCTTCATGTTGTGGTGTAAGTGCTGGATTAGCATATTTCACAGCTGTGCCTGGGAACGGGAAGGTGTGGTGGGGAGAAGGGAAGACAACACAAGATGTAATGCGGGGAGGAGGGATGGGGACATCCTGTTTGGAAATGCCAAATTCAGATCACAAAGGAATGTTTCCCACGCCAAGCGGTGTGTGCACATGCATGGTGAGGTGGGGGGTTACACCTCAGATGCTGTGCTGTGCTCTTATTTCTGTTTGCAGGGAAGAGAGCTGAAAGGCAGCTGTCCTAATTCCCCGTCTCTTTGCCTGTTGACTCTCCCTTGTTTCCAGACCTGCATGTCCCTCCATCCCACGCAGCCCCAGTGTTGCTCTCACTTGGGTTTATTTCCATCCAGCGCCGAGGTCACAGTGAAGGCTGGAGTGCTGCATCCCGCCGAGTTCCCTGCTTTTTCCTGTGATCCTCCCACGTGGCCCCTTTTTCTGTTGTCTCACTTTTGGATCTTGACAGGTTGAGAAATTTTGTTCATCATTGTTGCCTGTGACAGAAGATTTTGAGGTGATCGATGGCCCTGATGCAAGAGGCATGTCCTCAGGGCTGGGGAAGACAGTATAGCCAGCAGCATGGTAGACTGTAATGATGTCATTTTCCTCTGCATCTCAGTAAACCTCATGCGTGCATTCCATGAGAGAGCCTGTGCACAGCTTGATTCATCCAGATAATGTCACCACAGTGACTGGCTAGGGAAACAACCAGTGGGTCAGAGAGCCTGCAGGCCCAGGGTAAATAGCCCAGCATGATAGATTTAGTAGATGGCAATGCTCTCTGCACAGAGAAGTACAGCCCTGGGGGAAGGGAATGGACTCCCCTCACTGGCAGCTTAGTGAAGCCAGCGTTTTCAAGAGTTGCTGCTGATTTGGGGGAACCTCAGTACTTGAGAGCCCAGCCTGAGATGCTGATTCAGGAGGTGCTGAGCACCCACAGTGCCAGTTGAAGTTGATGGGAGCTGCAGGTGCTCACACCTATGAAAATCCAGCCCGAGGTGTCATGTTGGCTCCTGAATGTAGATTGAGATGGATTCCTGATGGGACCTCCAGCATGGCTGGGGATCAGTATCCATCTGTCTGTTAAAGTGTAAGTCTCTGCCCCAAAGAGCTCTCTTCTGGGTTTGTATAGCACCTAGCACCATGGGGTCTAGTTCGTGACTGGGGTCTTAGGTGCTACTGCAGTATAAACCATTAATAATGAGGAGCACAGAGTGTTTTGGTTTTTTTTTAAAACTCAGCCTATGGAGTGTCATTACCCCCTCCCCCTCAGTTACTGGGGCTACTGCCTAGATCTAGCAGTTTTAAGTAGATACAGGCTAACCAGTGTTCAGGACCCACCTCCATTAGGCAGTCCCTTTTATTAAGTGGTCCATAAAGGAACCCCATGGTTCGCCTGCTGAGTGCAAAGAGGTGGTGGTGGTTAATGTGCTGTTTATATGGCAGTGACGCCCAAAGGCCCCAGTCAGCAATGGGCCCCACCCTGCTAGATACTGCACAAACTGAGGGGAAGTCGTGGGTGGTCTGTGACTCATTTGTCCTGGCCATTGGTGGTTGTGTCAGATGGGTTCCTCTGACCGTACACGTTCAGCCCAGCTCTGTGGAGTCCTGTACCCCATGCCTGTGCAAGCTCCAGATTAGAGCTTGGAGGGAAGCTTGAACTTGCTTCCCAGGAGCCAAGACCCTTTGCATGTTGGTCAAGTTCAGTTCCATGCTCTGCAGCTGGCCCTTGTTTTTGTCCTGGGCTGAGCCAAAGCTTTGGTTCCAAACAGCCCACCCTTGAACCTTCTGTCCCCCACAGCTTGGGCCCACCTCTGGGATCAGCAAGCCGCAGGGATGAGGCCAGGTTCGACCGCAGTTAGACATGCTGGCCACTTCTGGGCCAAATCTTCTCCGAATCTTTATTCCGCCCATTGTTTTTCATTTATTGCGGCAGCCCCTGTGCTTCTGACTTTTGCTGGGATCAGAAGAGTGTAATGACTGAGAGGCTGTTCTTGGATCCTTCCAGTCCAGAGAGAATCTGGCCTGGAATAGCAGGGGGAGCAGCAGATCAGGACTGAGCTGCAGCAGCAAGAGTGGGGTTGGGGTCTCAGGACCAGATAGCCCAGAGAGCCGCAGGTGAGGATGGAAGTGCAGTGACAGAGCTGTATGGAAGCCCTAGGATTAACACGGAAACATCCTCTTAAGTTGAGAGGAAGCTACAGAATCTATTTTGCCGATACAATTTGTCCCCTGGGACCTTCTGCCTTGATGTATAAAATATAGGAGCCCTGTGCGGGCAACTTCTAGTACTGCTGAATTCCGGCTTGGCTGCCCGGGAATGTACACGTCCAGGGAGTCTCACTCCCTGCACTACATCTCCTGCTCTTCCCTGCATTGCAACAGAAGGTGCTTTTGGGCAGGGACAACGTCCGTGTGTGCTAAATCTTGTCTACAAATTGTTAGCGGCAAAGGCCATATTCGCATCTCGAGGCATCTACGTCCAAGTCCAGTCTCCCTAAATGTTGAATCGTGGGGTTCAGCAAGAGGGTGTTCACCAGTGAGACTCTCCTAGGGTGTCCAGATTGCCCGGGTCAATACTAGGGTGCTTTATTCGGCACTAGAGTCCAGCTCCTGTCCCCACTCTATGAACCCCATCTCAGGAGGACAGTTGAGCATTGAGGGTTCTTCACACACAGCCTACGCGGCTCTCTATTAGAATCGTCGCATTTTGAAGCTTGAGCTTCATGGCTCAGAATGACCCCTGCTCAAGAGCTCACTGCTAGGTTTGTGTATCCCAAAGCATTCCATGACTTCTTGGGCCAGGTGGATATTTAAAGAGGCCCTGATGGACTGTGTGGTTGGGAGCTAGAGAACCAGAGGGTCTGTCTACCCAGCAACCTCCATGAAAGATCCCCCTGTACAGTCATAACAGCTCTCTTCTCTGCCACAAGGGACACTGACAGGGGAATCATTTTGTTCTGCGCTGTGGAGCGTAGTTTGGCTGTGTCTGTGCCATGCGGGGGCCGCCGCCTCCTGCTAAGTCATCTCTGCAAACTGGCCCCTCTGTGTTTAAGCCAAGCAGGGCTCTGGCCAGCTCTTGCTCGTGGTGGGACCTGAGTCAACCACCCGGTGACTGTCAGGGGATGTGGAGGAGATGGCGCATTGGTGCCAAGAGGGGAGGGTAAGGAGGTCCCCGCTGCCAGGCGACGAAGAATGTCCCCCTGCGGCAATGAATGGATTCCTCCTGAGCTCCTAGCTGCTTCAGTCCTTTGCCCCTTTGGGTGTTATCTCATAGGCATGTAGACTACTGTCCCTCTGTTCCTCAGCTGGCCAACTGCTGTGGCATTAACCCTCTGCTCTGAGTTTGGAGCAAGGCTGGTTTGTGGTGGAGAGGGAGGTGGGGTGGGAAAGGGAGCTGTACGCGGCAGCTGTTGCTCTAAGCAAAGGTTTGTTCTGTGAGTCAGTTTGACGGGAGTCTTTCTCTCGCTTTCCTATCT